AGTATTCAAGAAAGGATTGGGCAAAAAACAGAATCACGAAGTAAACATGCTCAAGCACATAGTGGAAATCGAGGTACAGATTAAACGATCAGAGACATGAGCAAGTTCACAAATATGGAAGAGTTAAAAGTAAATCAAGAACTGAAACCAGAAGAAGTAGTGGCTTACCAGAGAAAGTGAGGCCGGTGTGAGGATCGCCGAAGTCAGACGACGGTTGCAAAAGCAACGGAGCGGTAAAAATCTCGCCGGAGGAGGTGAACGGAGCAAGTTGCAGAGCTCGAATGCTTGAATTAAAGGCAGATTTGGGAGAGCGAAGAGAGAGAGCTTGCACGGGAATGAGGATGCAAAGGTGAAACGACGAAGAGAGAAGAAGAAAGTTTTGTTGAAACACAAAACGGCGGCAAAAAGGCAATTAATGTGCCTAAAACGACGTGCGTGTCAGACGGCACATGAGAGAGCAATGCGACTTAGTGGCGCGTATCGGGTACGGCCCGAAGAGAGAGAGGGAGACACGTGGCAAGAACGGTTGAGTAGTCATGCGTGACAACTCATATGCGTGTTAAAGCTCTTAGAATTCTCGATTTAACGGAGTATAACCTCGGCTTGGAGGATGATCTCAGCTGAGAAACTTGAACAAAACTTGGTTAATGATTTTCTGGCATTGGTGAAAGCAGACTGTAAGTCTTTGGTCATATTGAGCCGACGTATTATGACCTCGGTAATGAATGAATGAAGTGAGCTTAGCCGACGTGCTAAATGGAAGAAACGATATAGGTTCCATCACATTAGGATGCCGAGGTAATAGAACCTAGGAGGCAGTTGTGGGGAATATTTTCTGAGTGCCAACACGTGGCCAAGATGACGCCGAAGTGTCAGCCGAGGTGCCACGTGTCCTGGTCATGATGTCGAGGTGATCTCGGCTAGGCCGAGGTTATCTCCGAAGATATTGGAGTCCGAGATATGCGGATAAGGGAAAAGAGTCCTAAAATGAGAGAAGACTTCAGTTTGGGTAAAGATAAGACTCTTAGAGAGTTTATCCTAATCCTACTGGGAGTCCAAGATTAACAGTAATCCTAAGTCCACTACAGCTAGGCTTCTATTGGGACTAAGATTGTATTGGTTATAAAAGGAAGGCACCTCCATGGGTCTAAGGTACGCAATTTATATTCTGAATAGTGAGTTAAGCATTTTTGCTATCTTTGAGAGATAACTGACTTGATCATCGGAGTGCCCCCGGGTGGATGAACCACCGCTGGAATCTCTTCTTTCTGTTACAAGTCGTTCGGGCTTAATCTATTCTATCGGTGCTCTCCAGCTAAGTACTAATTTGGCAGTGTGGTCGGAAATTGACACACACGATTAGTAATTTTTTAAAAGATAAAGCTATAAAAAGAAAATACCTAAAAAATAAAGTGTATAGCATAGATTTGAGCCACATCAGAGTTTAGGATGTGGTCGACTAACTTTCTTCCGTCTGACATTTCTATATCTAATTTGTAGGCCATTTGGTCTTCCTTTATTCAATATTAGTTGTGGAACAAGCATGAAAGATAATAGCCATATTGAACAAGCATGAAGGATATGACAGGATCGTTTCAAATCAAATATCAAAACCATTAACAGGATTTCACAAGATTGATTTCAACAACCAAATCAACATTGCACCATCAGTTCAGCATGAGAGAGAGAGAGAGAGTGAGGAGCTCACCGATTTGAATCGCTAAGATGAACTTCGATTTCGATTTCGAGAGAGAACTTCGAAATGGTTGAATCACCGATTTGAAATTATCTGAATCATCGATTTGAAATGATCTGAACTTCGATTTCGAGAGAGAACTTCGAACTTCGAAATGATCTGAATCACCGATCTGTTTCCTTGGATCTAGACAACTAGTCTATTTGAATCTATGAATCTAATTAGGGTTTAGATAGTAGAGAGAGAGAGAAAGAGAGAGAGAGAGAGAGAGTATGGAGCTCACCGATCTGAATCGATTTTCAGATGAACTTTGATTTTGAGACAGTGGAACTCTGATGAACTTCGATTTTGAAACTGGAGTTCGAAATGGCTCTGAGATATTAATGGGGTTTAGACAGCAGAGAGAGAGAGGTGAAAGAGAGAGATTTGGAGATTCAAAATAAGAGTGAAAAGAGGGAGAGAGGGAGCGAGTGAGAGATAAGCCATTTGAAGGCGTTTATAAACGTCTTCTATTCATGAAACAACACCTTTTTACTTAAAGAAATACTAGCATATCATCCGTGCTATGCACGGATTGTGTTTACAATTATCTATATATGTAAATTGCGAATTTTAAATGTCTTCTTTTTTTTCATTTTTTATATTATATTAAAGTTTATTATTTTGATAATAATCATATGTGTTAAACTTTTTAAGGAATTAAATGTTTTTTTTTATTATATTATATTAAAGTTTAATATTTTGATAATAATCACATGTGTTGAATTTTTCAAGAATTTTTTTTATACTTGTTCTTAATGCATTAAAGTGTTATTATGAGGGATAATAATCATATGAGTTGAGACTTTTCAAGGAATTCATATGTGTTGGATTTTAAAGAATTTTTTTTATGCGTGTTCTTAATGCATTAAAGTGTTATTATGAGGGTAAGACTTGAGGGTCTATGCACGAATTGTGTTTACAATTATCTATATATGTAAATTGTGATTTTTAAATGTTTTGTTTTTAAATGTCTTCTTTTTTTCCTTTTTTATATTATATTAAAGTTTAATTTTTGATAATAATCATATGTGTTGGACTTTTCAAGGAATTAAATGTCTTTTTTTTATTATTATATTATATTAAAGTTTAATATTTTGATAATAATCATATGTGTTGGACTTTTCAAGAATTTTTTTTTATGTTTGTTCTTAATGCATTAAAGTGTTATTATGAGAGATAATGATCATATGTGTTGGGACTTTTCAAGAAATTCATGTGTTAGATTTCAAAGAATTTTTTTTATGTCTGTTCTTAATGCCTTAAAGTGTTATTTTGAGGGTAAGACTTGGGAGTTGGGAGAAGTTAATAAATGCTAAGATTTTTTTTTTAAAATCAAAAAATTAGGAAATTTAGATTGGGAGATTAGAGCTCCCACAAGGCTTGAGGTTAAAAAGCCCATTTTGCTTAATATATAGTATAGATAGATAGATAGATAGATAGATAGATATAGATATTTATATATGTTTTAGATATGTGTTGAGACTTTTCAAGGAATTCATTTGTTAGATTTCAAAGAATTTTTTTATATTTGTTCTTAATGCATTAAAGTGTTATTATGAGAGTAAGACTTAGGGGTTGGGAGAAGTTAATAAATGCTAAGTTTTTTTTTTTTTTAAATCAAAAAAAATTAAGGAATTTAGATTGGGAGATTGAAACTCCCACAAGGCTTGGGGTTAAAAACTCATTTTGCTTAATATATAGTATAGATATAGATATAGATAGATAGATATAGATATTTATATGTGTGTTAGATTTTTTTTAATATACAAATTATTATTTTTAGATTTTTTATAAAAATAATTTAATAATCCCATCACTAACTATAGTGTATGGGAGAAGTTGAAAAATGTGCTACAATAACTATGAGAGAAGTCAAAAAAGCATGTGGATTGAGAGAAATCAATAAATGCTAAGATTATTATTATTTTTAAATCAAAAAATTAGAAAATTAAGTTTAGGATATTGAAACTCCCACAAGACTTGTTGGTTAAAAACTCCATTTTGCTTAATATATAGTAAGTATAGATACGACGTTTATGAAACGCCGTTAAATATTATAAACAGTGACGTTTTAAAAAAACGTCGTTAAAAATACACCACCACAACCCATATTTCTTGTAGTGTATTTGTCTCATGTTGTTTATTTATAATGGTGACATGTGCGTGTTCAAAAGATTAGATACTTGATTAAATGTATTCCTACTAGGCATACAGCTCAACCCTACCTGATTTTTTAGGAACTGATGACACACCACTGCAGTGACTTGGCGTTGCATTTTTTACTTCGTTGAAAGCTGGGTTTAAAAAACTTTGATTGTAGAACTGTAGAGTTTTGTATCAAAAATTGTAAAAGCTTTTGTATGCTTTAAGGGCAAGCTCCTTTTTGTATGGTCTTCTAACTTATTGAACTTACCCAAGGGCTTGGGCTAAGACGAATGTGTAAACATGGAATTGTAAACTTTGAACCTTAGTTCAATGAAAAATAGGACTTTATTGTGTTATGCTATGAATGGTTATGGTATTTGCTTGTATGAAATTTTGGAGCGTTAGACAAATCTTTTTACAACATTTTCTTTTCCACTAATCTAATTTAAAAATGCATTATATGAAAAGTCACACCTCCAAACTCAGCTTAAGTTTGCTTTTAATTGCATGACATGCTCCACGCAGGCTTTTGCCATCTAATTGAAGTAACGTGATATCTTTCCCTGTTAGATCATAAGAATTGGTACCTTTCATGGTTAGTGTCAAAATTGCAATTTTACAATCAAATTTTGATATGTAAATTACGTGTGGTAACCTATATTTTATACTCTATCTCACTTTATCTCTTAACCATTTATTTGTGACAGTTTACCTTCTAAACTTTTAATCAAGTTCCAATCTGAGTCCAATGATTAACCCATATGTTGGAGAAGCAAACGAAAAACCCTGACGTGATTGTCAGGTGATAATTATTGGAAGGGTAAAAATATAAATTCACAATCCTTTTCTGCCCAAACCAGATATGTGCTGCCAACTACACTTTAGAAAGCTTATATACATGTATGTATATATATTCACCTTGTAATTTTCCTTCGAATTTTACTTTGGTCCTGTATTTTTTTAATTGTAACATATAAGTTCTCAAATTTCAAATTGTGTTTTTATTTAATTTTTTCCTCACTCATTATTAAAAAAAATTGATAGAAAGTGTTAGAGAAAAATAAATGATTTCCCCCAAGTATAAATCAATCGAAGGCAATAAAATAATGCTAAAAAATAAATCAACAACACAAGAATTTTTATATAGTTCACTTAATGTGAGGTACGTCCACGGGACCATAATCCGATGTTACTATCAACCAAGAGTTTACAAATAATTACAAACGAGATTCAAACTCTCACAACCACCCTTAAATGAATTTTAAATGATCAAGAAGAGAAATGTCACCAAATAGACGAACAAATTATCTTCAAACAAGCTATTGAAAACCCAAGATAATAAATCCAAATTAATCTCCGTTGAAGCAGCCAGATATGTACCCAAACAGTGCTTCGAAGCAGCCAGAAACTGAAAACAGAGAAGACTTTGAAGCACTAGCCAAAAGTAGCAATAAGAAGAGCACTAAGGTTTTAAAAACACACACAACACTATTCACTAAATGAACCCACCAAAATTTTATATTGACAGCACTATACAAATAACAATACAAAGGTTATGCTTGTCCGATTAATTCCATTTTTTATATGATTGATATACTCAACAAATCTTATAATATGAATTATTCAGATCATCAAAATATGATCTAAACAATCCTTACAGGGTGTGACAGCACAGGTGACAGCACCCACCCTCCTTCTCACCATGTGAGATGCAGAGAGAAAGTGCATTCTTTACTCTCTTTTTATTTGGGCAAAAAATAATTTTTTCAATTTTTTTTTTTTTTTTTGTAGAAAGTGTTTTCTTGAGAATATTTTTCCATGTTTGGTGGTGATGGTGGTAGTGATGGAATGAAGGTGAATGTGGTAGCAAGGTGGTGGGTGGCAATGGAAGTGATAGCGACGATAATGGTGGTGGTAGCCGTGGTGATGGTGGTGGTGGCAGTGGTGATGTGAGACTGGTGATAGTAGTGTGGTGACATTAATAAGATTTTAGTCTGAAAAATATTTGTTGCCTTTTAAAAGTAAAACATTTCATGTCCAAATAAGCTGTTTTTTTTTTTTTTTTTTTTTTTTTTTTTTTTTTTTTTTTTGATCATGAAAAATATTTTTCATTGACTTTCATTTTCCTTTGTATCAAACGCCAGAAAATACAGACCAAGCAAAAGGCTTGAACCCAAAATCTTTAGTATGAGAAACATGTTTACTACTTGGGCAACACATAACATATTTATTTTTAAATCAAAATTAAAACTTATATTTTAAAGATTTAACAGCACAATCATCGATAGACACACCCACTAATATATATATATAGACATACATTCTAACCTTTGATATTGTATCTTCAACTTCCTAGCATTACGTAATATATCAGCTTGACCAAAATTCGCCATGACTCCAAATACTGCGCCGCCTAGATCAAATTGAAATGCACTGCAACTACAGCGCAAAAATCAAAGATAGCTACAGTTACTGAATTCTGTGAACATGCTGGATTTGATATGCATGTCACCCAAATCAAAGATAACTACAACACACAATTCGGGTTGGATTCGCATCTAAACATTCATAATTTCACTGTAATAAAAGCGCGAATAAAATTACAACTGAAAAGAGTTTTGTCAAACCGAATTGCTAATAACAAAAACTTAACAAAAGTAAATATAATTAGATCGGTGTTAATCCATATTACAACTAACGAATTATTGATGCAAATAAGCTAAGTGTTAACCCTCTGTAATTAGGAGAGGTCGGTGTAAATTTACCTAACCAAGTACTCATTTTTTTATTCATTATTTGAAGTGAAGAGACACATGGGTGTTTGGGTGTAGAGGGTAAACTGTCTAATATAGTGTTAGTAAGAAAATAGATGTTTAGTTTTATGATTTAAGTCGTCTAAATTGTAAAATTATTTTTATAACCATTAGATTAGATTTTTCACATTAATGATTTGGATAGATTGTCTCCAATAATCAGACCATATGAATTGAAATCATAAACAGTAAAGACTAAATATATGCAATTAATAACTTAAGAATGAAGTATTAAAAGTGACTATTTTAGGGTATAAAAATAAATTTCAAAAAAAAAAGGTGTCTAAAAAGGTGTCCAAGTCGCACACCTCTTTCAATTGCAACCATTAGAGTCAATAACAAGCCTTTATTTTCACTCATTTATTACTTCCATGATTTTTTATTTTTTAAAAATTTTTTGCAAGATGATTTCCAATCAAGTGCTTTGTATAAACATCAAAGGAAATAAAATAGCTTTATTATGTATGATACAAATAAAGTGCTAAGAAACTGAAAAAAGATTAGATAGCAACCATAACTAAACTATAGTTTTTCATGATCAAGCACAAGAATGCAGAAATTGATTGTAATACCTACCAAAGGATGCCACTTGCATTGGCTAATTTCACCTTGCTCTGTTCCTGTGAGAATGCTTTTTAAATCTCTTTTCGCTTTTGTTTCGTTCACCTTCAATGATCCTCACAAGCCATTGAGGTTTTCCTCTAGAGAGCATAAGATATCCCATAACAAGTCCCCACACCAGCCCACACATATAACCCGGTAATATGACTTCCCAATTGAATCCACTTGAAGTATTGTCTTCTTGTTGAAACATCAAGGGTGGTGGTTGTGGTGCCCTTGGATTGCATGTATTTAACAATGGAGGTCCACATAATGCCAAGTTGCCAATGTAGGAATCATTTAAAAATGTACCAAATTGGTTGCCTTGTGGTATTGGTCCTGTTAGTTGATTCTGCGATAGGTTTAAGACTTCAAGGGATCTCAAATTCCTTAATTGTTGAGGGATCTTCCCAGTGAGTTTGTTGGAAGAGAGATCTAACCATTCTAGCAATGTCAAATTAGCAAGAGATGATGGTATATCACCTGTAAGGTTATTCTGAGATAAGTTGAGCCCTCGGATTGAATTTAGTCTTCCAATGATCGCCGGAATCTCACCTTCGAAATTGTTTTTCGATAAATCAATTGCAGTGAAAATGGTTAGGACTTTTACCATTTCCATGGTTGATCCTTTCATTGTTATAGTCAAACTATAGTAATATATGGAACCGCTAAGCATACTTAAGTATTGCAATTTAAAACTGGCTTCGTCGACATTCATCATAGCATTGAGATTCTTGAAATATTTTCTTGGCAATGGACCAGTAAAACAATTGTTTGATAAATCCAAAACTCGCAAGTTGGGGAAGGGAAATTTGCACTCTGAATTTAGTATAGGTCCATGAAATTTGTTAGATCTCAAACTTAGAACCTTTAATGAAGTTAAATTTTCCAACCAATATGGAAATTTATCGGAGAACTTGTTTTGTCCAAGGTCTAGCACTTGTAGCATTTTGCAATTCTCTAAAGATTTTGGTACTGGCCTCTCAAATCCATTGCTATCAAGGTTGATAGTTTCGAAGGAATTTTCCTTTGCAAATGTATCTGGAATGGTGCCAGAAAAATTATTCTTCCGCAGATCGAGGATAGAGAAATATATGCTGAAATTTCCTAAACATTGTGGAAGAGCACCATTAAAGCTATTATTAGACAGGATAAGACTTCCAAGGGAAATTGCATGACAAAGCATGTCTAGTTCACCACTGAAGTTATTTGACGAAAGAATGAGACCACTAAGGTTCACGCATTTGAAGGTTGAACTTGGAAACCTACCATGTAGGTTGTTATTGCTCATATCAACAAAACCTAAATGAGTGGATTTGAACTCTTTTACATGGCCAATCAATTTGTTATTACTGATGGTGAAGTAATACAATTCAGGTAAGCTGAAGACCCAAGATGGAATTGTACCGTTGATTAAGTTATCATCTAATCTTAACCACGATAGATTTGGAAATCCAATTATTTGTAATGGAAGAGGTCCCGTTAGCTGAGTATTTGACATATCTAACACAACAAGTGCTGTTAGGTTTGCAACTAATGATGGGAATGGACCGGTGAAGTTATTTGAACCAATATATAAAAAACGAAGACTTTTTACATTAGGTAAAAAATCTGCAATTTTACCTTCAAAATTATTACACTGAACTTCCAAGACGACGAGATTTCGAAGGTTTGAAAGTGAAGATAGGAGCATGCCAGTGAAATTGTTATATCCGATGACTAAATAAGTCATTTCCGTAAGGTTTCCAAGCGACGTAGGGATGGATCCATAAAATTTACAAGAAGAGGCACGCAACTGTTTCAAGGACTTCAAATTCCCAATTGAGTCGGGTAGTTCTCCAGAGAAATTAGTGTTTGAAAGGTCCAAGTACTGGAGAGGACTGCTTGAGTTTATAAACTCGGGAAAATAACCAGTGAGAGCAAAATTATCGTTTATACGCAGCTCATTCAGATGTGGTAACTGGAATATTCCGTCAGGAAATTTTCCGAGCAATTCACAATAAGAAAGATCGAGAAGTGTTAAAGAAGTCAGATTGAGGAAGGAATTCGTAACCACTGAAGATATGTTTACATCAAAAAGATTAAGGTCTCTTAACTTGGTTAAGTTTTGAACAAGTAATTCAAATCCAGGTTCTTCCAACATCAAACCATAATTGTTAGAGAGATCAAGCGTAGAGATGGCAATCTGAAACCGGCCCGACGGTGACCCGACCCCCCGACCCCGAATTCGGCGGTTATTCACCGAAAAATATCCCCTGTGGTCCGGGGATGGTATTCAAAAATTCATCCCCGAAGATATCCGGGCCGGGGACGGGGATATGTGTTTCAGAACCGGACCCGGCCCTAACCATTATTCTCAGCTTATTCAGATGTGGTAAATGGAATATTCCGTCAGGAAATTTTCCGAGCAATCGACAATAAGAAAGATCGAGAAGTGTTAAAGAAGTCAGATTGAGGAAGGAATTCGTAACCACTGAAGATATGTTTACACTATCAAGATTAAGTTCTCTTACCTTGGTTAAGTTTTGAACAAGTAATTCAAATCCAGGTTCTTCCAACCTCAAACCGTAATTGTTAGAGAGATCAAGCGAGATCAATTTGCTCAGGAAGGAGACTTCTATAGGGACTTTGCCAAAAAAACTAGACCATGAGAGATTGAGGTGTGTCAGTCTGGTGAACCGACTAAATTCAGATGAGATTTGAGACATACCAAAGTCATTCAAAGCGAGGTTGAGCCTTTGGAGGTGAGGAAAGTAGTAGAAGATGGTGCTATTGGGGTGGATGGTGCCGTTGAGCCAGCCGCAACTGAGGTCGAGGCCAATTACTTGACTTGTCTTGTTGTCACACTCGACCCCATCCCATGAGCAACAATCAAAACCCTCCTTCCATGATTCCAGCTTTGAGTAAGAATGGTTTCCGTAATGATCACAGATACCGGAGGAAGCATCATTATTGAAGGAAAATTGTTGCTTAAATTGGAGCAATGCAGAGCTCTGTTCTTGAGTGCACAGTTGGGCATGCAAACAAGCAATCTGGAAAAAACAAAGAAAGAAAAAGAGGTGAAAGAATTGATAGTTAGAGACCATCTTTGCTCCTAGATTAAAAAACAAAGGTTGTAATGCTGACTATTAACAGGGGAGAGGCCAAATGCTTTATAGGCAAATGTAGGTGCAATGCAAAGCCTACAAACGAGTAAAGTGACTTTGACTAGTCACTCTTCATTGATGTCTGCAGAGCTGGACCGCCATAACGTGAGTCAGTCTTCATTGATGTCTACAGAGCCGGACCCCCATAACGTGTTTTTCACTCGTGAAGGAAGACTTGACGTCATAAATGTTGATAATAATCAACCGCTTAAAATGCTACACGAAATAAAGTTTGACGCCGAAATATATTGTAGCTTTTATCACTAAATTGATTTGTAATATTTCTTATCACAAATAATTTGTAACATTTAAAATACACCGTTTATAATATAATCATAATAATATATAATTTTGACTTTTAGATGTACAATATAAATTTGTTTATTCATAATTTTTAGACAAAATGACATAAAAAACTCACCACAAATTATGCAACTTTTACGGTAAAAAATCGTGATTTTGTTATGACAAAAATGTGGATGCATACTAGCATTTTCGTAAAAATTGTATGAATTACTAACAACTTTTTTAATTAAGGATCACTATATATCCGTTGTTCTGTTTTTTTTTCCTTCACATTTTTATATCACCAACCTAGATACATGACAATGTATCATTTGTTTATATTACTTTCTTAATAATTATCTTCAAATAAAGTAGCTATTAATAAGTATTTGGTAATACAAAATAATAATAAATAATCTGCAATATATAACATTTCTTTTTCCAAAAGGTATTATTTGTTTATATTAATTTCTTAATAATTATCTTCACCTAAAGTAACATTTAATAAGTATTTGATAATATAAAACAATAATAGATAATCTGTAATATATAACATTTCTCTTTTTAAATTCACTTATAAGACAAGTAGTTAATAAGTGAGAGATCATAGATAAAATGAACTTCAAAAAAAAGTTGAAGGAAGGAAAAATCCTCTCCAGTCCAATTATTGGATTAGAAGATATTATTAGGACTTTTGGGGTCTATTACAAATCTAATTTTAATGATGTAAGTTGTTCATCTTGTATGCTTTATTTAGTCAAAAAAAAATTAAAAATTGATATGATACTTGACGCTACATCAATTTAAGAAAAAAAAATTATATTTTTTTTAAAGGAACATTTAAGAGTTAATTATGAGACAACATAGTTGATTAGATCCCATATTTGAAAAAAAATATTTGGTACTTCATGGGTGTTGCCTATCCATGCTCTCCACTAATCATCATACATCATATTCCTTATTATTTTTCAATTATCCAACACAAAATCATGAGTTCTACCTTCTTCTCTACACAAAATTTCAAAGACACCACATCATCGTAGCAGTACCACCACATAACTTCTCTCATATTTGCAATGCGAAGCCTACAAAACTAAGCCAGTCTTCACTCATGTCTATAGAGCTTAACCCTATAGTGTGTTTCACTCGTCGAGGAGCATTTTGACTCCATAAATGTTGATCATAATCAATTCCTTAAATGCAATAGTGGGTATTTGAGGTTCGTTTATTTGGTAGCCATGTTTTTCGTTTAATTTCATTTTTATTGAATATTTTTTTAAAAAAAATAATTGAAGTTTTTAAATTTAACTTGATGAGACGAACCACAAAATTTTAAAAAGTCTAGAAAAGAAAAAAATAAGCCCCCCCCCCAAAAAAAAAACTTTTTGGCTTATTTTTGGCTTTTTTCATTATTTTGGAATTTTTTTAAAAAATTATTTTTTAGATTCGTTTATACAAGACGGCCAGAAAAAATGAAAAAATTTTGACATAATTTTGAAAAAAAATTATGACGAATTACACTAACAGTCCCTATAGTTTGAGACTTGTGTCACTTTGGTCCCTGACCTTTCAATTGTGATACATTTTATTCTAAATTTTGAATCTCATTCTAAATAAAGACAATTGAAAACATTTTTACTCCATTTTGAGGCAAATTCGTCAATTTGATAAAATATAAACTAGTTTGATAAAAATAAACGTCAAAAATTTATTTTTAAAAATTATTTCTACTCACCAAGGATAAAATTATATAAAAATGATAAATCTTTTACATTTTTATTTTTTTAATTTTTTTTACCAAATTAATTTTTAGTATATGTTTGGACGATGATCATATAATTGGTGGTAGTTTTTGTTGATTTTTTTTATGGTTGTCATGTAATAGATGGTTGTAGTTGTTGTTAAAAAATATTTTTGGATGGTTATCATGTAATGGATGGTTATTAGATTAATTGTATAATCAATATGTTTAATATATGAAATGTTTTAATTTTGAATTTTTTTATTTACTGAATTGGTTTAATAATGATATCAAAGTTGTTGCGATGTTTGATTTTTGAAAAAATAAAACTAATTTAATGAAAATAAATATCAAAAAAATTATTTTAAAAATTAGTTCTACTCTCCCAAAAGATAAAATTATATAAAAATGATGTGTTTTTAATTTTTTCGAACAATTTAATTTTTAGTTTCTTAGAATAATTTTTTGAAAATAGATTTTGAAAACCAAACCAAACAGAACTTTATAACAAAAAAAGTTCCAACATTGTACATTAAAAAAAATGCCATTATATTTCAAACAACATATAAGTTAACCAATATAAAATAAGTTGCATGACGAGTTTATCCTTTAAATTGAGCAACAATGGGAGTGTTTGGTAGGGCTTTTTTGAGCCAACTTATGATTTCTAGCTTTTAAAAAGTTATTTTGAATTGTTTGGTTAAACTTATTTCAAACAGCTTCTGATTCTAACAGCTTATTTTAAGTCAAAAAAGCTGATTCTGAGAAGCTGCTCACTCCTTGTTTCTGATTATCAGCTTCTGCTGTGGACATGTTAATTCACTGTTATACCCTTAAATTTTTTTATTTTTTATTTTTTTAAAAATAGAAAAAGACCCAAATGGACTATAAAATATTATTATTATTTTTTATGACAAATGTAGGTAAATAGTGAATAATAAAAAATAAAAATTAATTGAAAAAGTTACTTCACAGCTTATTTAACAAACACTACTCAGCAACTTAAATCTATAATCCAACAGCTATACCAAACAGATTAACAGCTTCTGATTAAAGTCATAATCTATAATCTGTTAAGCTATAATCTATGATATGTTTTAACAGCTACACCAAACAGCACCAATGTCTTCAATTGTTCTGATTTGGAACGAGATTTAAAATTCAAGGTCAAATGTATTACAATTGAAAAGTTAGGGACCAAAATAACACAAGTCCCAAACTATAAGACTTTTAATGTAATTTTCCCAAAAAGTTATTAAAGACAAAAAAAAAAGGAAAAAAGGAAAAAATATGAGACTTTTTTATGACAACCTCATGCTTAAAAGGACATACACCAAGACCTGGAAAATTCTATAATTATAACAACCCTCATTTTTCCTTAGTCTGATTCATGAGAATTTACATGATTTGGATTTGTTAACCTTGCATCTTATGAACTTTAATATTTTGTCCAAGTATGGGAGCATGTCATGTTTTGTGTTGTTGTGTTTTGACTAAGTATAAGATCCACACTTTGTTCCTTGCTTTGTGTGTTGAACCTAGCTCACCTATCTTTGCTACCTCACACCTATGATCATCTTGGAACCATCTTGTTGACCTCTACCTTCACCTTCGCACCTTGGCCGAGGTGTGCATCATCTAGGCCGAGATGAGTATCACCTAGGCATCTGAGATCTTTGATCCTTGAACCTTGCAACCATGTTATGCACCTTAGCCAACACCTAGCAATCTTGTTCCTTGACTTGTACAACCCAAGCCGAGGTGTGTCACACCTAGGCCAAGTGTTACCCCTCCTAGCTGAGATCAAGAAGACCTCACTTATCCTTCCCTTGTCCGAAGCCCATGTTTTGATCCAGGATCCTTGCCTTGTCAGAGTGCCTATGCCACTTTACTTGTTATATACAGTTTGACCTACTCTTGTTTTTTCATTCTGACACCTTTTTTAGGAGATTGATCAGATAGTGCCACGTGTCCCAGTAGTGGATTTAAGTCAGTTAGCAGTTGAGAAACCCATATCATTTGTCATATTTGTCTTAAAGGGAAAGAAACTCTAGGGAGAAGAAGTTCTTAGAGTGAGAACTAGATTTCCAAACTTGATTTTCATTCTTTGAACCATTTGATTTGTGTTTTGAGGCTAGATTCTTGATCTACTCTTGTTGTTTTTTA